AGGGACAGTTTAGCCAACAGGAAGCTACAGCAGGGGGACAAAAGATCTGTGGATTGCTGACACCCATTACTTCGGCCTGCCTGCACCGCCCCCCCCCCCCCCCCCGCTTGCCGCAACAGCACTATTACCTCATTCCGGCTGTTGAGGACTGCGCTACTCCTTGCGTGTTGCATCTTCAAGTTCCATGTACCTCCCTCTACAGCAGAGATTTCCAGCCCCAACACGAGCTGCCTGTCCGGTCCCATATTTCAGAGCTCTAGCCACAGGACTGACCCATTGGTCATCCCAGAGCAGATACTCCACGTGTGTACGCCACAGACCACCAAAGTTTTCTTGTGGACCACCAGTAGTTGGTGACCTCTGCTTTAGAACATCCTGCCCTCCACAATTAGATCTGCCCCCCTCCTCTCCTTCCATGGGAGCCTAAAGACCTGGCTCTGCCAGTTGGCCTGGGGTTCAAAAGGGAGTTCCACACTGGAGGCAGATGCTGTATTGATGGCAGATTCCACTCCCACACCCTCTCCTCTCCACCCATCCATCTTTTGGTTATCACATTGATGTTTTCTTGTTGCTTTCTTTCTTTTTTCTTGTTTATTTTGTTCCTCTGTTATTTTATGTTGTCTTTACATTTCTTTTTGTTTCTTCCTTTTTATTGTGGAACTGGCCTAGAGTAACCCAATGGCAAGATAGGTGGCAAATAAATAAATATTATATGGTTCCAGGGGCCACACTGCTGACTGAGATGTCCTGTCTAAATGAAGAAAATATGCAAACTCTGTTGTGAAACCAACAAAGGGAACTGAGCCTCTGGTTCTTTGCTAGAAGGAAGAGCTCCAGTTTGGCATATGAAATGTCACTAGGTGAAACGGTGCCTCATAGGACAACAGTTTTTGAGCCAAGGTCCCCTCGATGGGCTCACGTACAGAACACACCCAAAGTCTGTGACTCACGTGGAATTAAAATCAAGGAAATTTTATAAAACAGTTTATAACAAAAATTATCATAAAACATTTTGTGACATAATATAAAGCAGTTTCCGATGTTTGACTATACTATACAGTTCAACATGGGCGATGTTCAAGGCAGATACTTTTCTGAATATCTCCCTGATTTTTAAAGAATTTTTCCAATGAAGGCAATACATTAGAAAGTCTGTTATTGTTGAGGAAGCATTGAGGAATCTGCTAAGAAGATGCCTCTGAAGGATGACGTGGGGCGGGGGGCAGCGGCTTGTCTTGCAAGGATTAAAAGGGGCATTGGAGAGAATCCCAATTCCAAGCCACGTAGGAAACCACGACTACAGCAATCCTAGCAGATTGCTACCCAACCTTTGTTGAAACCCATCGGTAAAAAAGAGCTTCATCAGGTTTTACTGGAACTCTTGCCAATCTCAGACAAAATTCCTTAACTCTTAGTTCTAGTATCTAAGTCTTTTTCCATCTCTAAATGTTTCTATCTCAAAGTCTAAAATGTCTACTTTTTCCTTAATTTAACTTCTCCAGAGATTTGGCTTACATATTCATTTCTTCTTCAAAGTTACAATAATCTCTCTTCCATTTTCCCTTCAAGTGTAATCAAGTCTGTTGATAATTTCACTAACTGATGAGGTCTAGTTATTCTGCTGTTTGGAAGGTCTCTGTAGCTGTCAGAGTATTTGCATCCAAATGTGCTTCAAAAAGTGGAATGTGGATTGAGCCATCATAGAGGCTCTGTCTGAGGATAAGAGCTTCTGCCTATACATCTACGGTTGCCCACAGGTTCTCTCCTGTGATTTATCTGGACTAAATGTGGCAATCCTTCGCTTCTCCTTCATCAGAGAAGCTGATCTGGGCTCACCAACCTATCACCAGTCTCCGCCTCAGTGTGTTTTCCGATCATCAGAGGCACTTCAAATTACCATTTTCCCTACCCAGAAGTTTTGAATGCTTTTTTTTTTTTTAAACAGTATTTCTTATGTCTATCTTGGGACAGAGCCAGGATAGCTCATTAGCCTTGTCTTGGGTTGGCCTACTTTTAAGAAGGACAGCAGATGGGATGAGAGGATGAGCACTCAGCTGGTTTAGTTTGAGGACACAAATTGTGGATCAGTCCAGCAGATCACTGATGGGAGGGGTTCATGCTAGATCATCTGGCGCATCTGGGAACTCTAACACTTTATTCTGTTTTAGTCTCAGTGGCGTGGCTACAAGCAGCGCAAAGAATACCAAGATCGTTTGAAGTATCTGCAGACTCACACAGGAGAAGCAGTGAAGGTAACTCTTTCTGCCCAAGTTGTGGAACAGAAAGTCTCAGTCTCTTCAGATAAACCCAAGAGTTAAAACTTCAGAGTACCTTCGGTGGTGCTTTCTCTCTCCCGGGTTAGTGATGTTTGGGGCTTCAGCCTCGTTTTGATCTGCCTTGAGAGGATCTGTAAGGACCTGTCCCAGCTGGTTGTTCAGGAAAGCAAAACTCTTGACTCCATTGAATTGAATCAAAAGAACTTTTACTGAGAGAAAGTAGTCACAATAAAGTCAGGCGGAATTTGAAGTTCCTGTGCAAAGCACAAAGCAATTCTTCCATTTCACCCAACCCCCCCTGAACAGTCCACAGGCAGTCAGAGTGATGCAGGGAGGAGGTTTCGGGAACACTGAGGTGCTAGGCAGATAACAGGTCACTCTCAGGCACGATGGCTTTGGAACAGGGCTGGAACTGGCTGAGAGGGAGTCTGTGAAGACAATCCCTCTCCTTAATTCCCAAGCGTACAGCAAAAGGGAGAAATGTCAGCCTCCCCCCTTCCGTCCAACAGAGAGGCAGGACACAATGGTGGACCTGACAGGATCAGATGCAGATCTTAAGGCACTGCATATTTTTTGTTTGGGTATAGAAAATAAGCCTGTTTGTGGTCAGTTCACATAGGTTTAGCATCACAAATGTTCATAGTTTTTTTTTAAATTAAAGTTTTTATTTTTTTTAAGGCAAATAATACTAGCATAGACATATATATCTAAATACAAAAAGAAAAAGAAAAAAAAGAAAATATAATATATTCCAATTGTGCCCTTATACCCTCCAAAACAACATATATTCTTGAGTAGGTTTATTCCCTTTGCTTTCTACCAACATTGATTTTATAAAATCCCCCCATATTTCATTGTAATTGTTTGCTTTGATCATCCCTTTTTAAAATTTAATTTCCATTGTTGATTTATCATTTGTTGCCATACTCCAAATTTCATTATACCCCTTTTTTCTTTGAATATCCCAATTTCATCCCCAATATTTAGCCATCACTAATCTAGCTGCCATTATCAAATTTATAATAAATTCCTTTTTCGTTTCATTTATATCCCATTTTCCATCAGCAACAGTAATACAATTCTCGGTGACATGACTCAATTTATATTCAAGAGTGCTCTGATTTCTCTAAACACCATGTACCTTATTTTTTGTGCAGTATCACAATCCCACCACATAATGTTTATATGTTCCAACCTCTTTCTTGCACTTCCAACCAATCTTTGTATATTCATCATCTATTTGATTTAATTTATGTGGTGTTAGGTACCACCTCCATATCACTTTATATCCATTTTCCTTAACTAACTGACATTCTAATATTCTCTTCTATTCCAAATATTTTTCCAATCAGTGTCATTTATTTCTCCTAAATCTGATTCCCAAATTAATTTTAAACC